GACTTACAGTGTCGTTGTGTCCTTGGGCAAGACACTTCCCCTGCATTGTCTACTGATGGTGGTCAGAGGGCCCGGTGGCGCCAGTGTACGGCAGCCCCGCTTCTGTCAGTGAGCTCCAGCAGCTGTGGCTACAATGTAGCTTGCCACCATCAGTGTGTGAGTGAATGGGTGAATGAATGCAGTCTAAAGCGCTTTGGTCAGGTCTCCTGACTTGAATAAAGGCGCTATATAAGTACATGCCATTTACCATACTTGGCTCTGCTGAGTTATAAAGCTTCGCTTCTTGAGCATGGCCTGTCCCCTGTAGAAATTCTTATGGGACGCAGACTACGCACCACACTTCCATACACCTCTGAACTGAAACAAAAGGAAGTGAAACAAAAACATCTTCAAAGGAGACAAAAAGCAAATTATGACAAGTCAACAAAGAGCTTAGTACCTCTGGCTAGGCATGACACAGTAAGAATACATGATTAAAGCACCTGGAGCAAGAAAGCAACAGTTCTTGAGGAAGTGAGTCCAAGATCTTACAACGTCAAAATAGAAGATGGTCAAGTCCTCAGGAGAAATCGATGGAGACACATGGCAAGAACAGACTGATGAAGATCCACTGGGAGATCCAGCCTCTACCGCAACAGATGATCCACCCCCGGAAGATCACCAGAGAGCTGTAGAGACTGACTTACCAGCGTTGAGAAGATCATCACACACCGTCCATGCACCTGACAGGCTGAATCTATAAGGACTATAAGCTGCATCCTTTTCATTGAAGTTAGAGTTATAGTTTATATTGTTCCTGAAGTAATGTAAAGTTGAAAGGAAGAAGAAAAATAAGTTCATAGTCATAGATGTGAGATTACAAGAACATAATAATATAGAGATACAAACTGCTTATAATACGTATAGAGATTGCTGGTAAAATAGTTTATGTGTTTTTATCTCTGGAAAAAGGGGGGATGTGATGATTAGTTAGGGAGTTGCAGTTTCACTTCCTGCCACCAGATGGCCACAGATATGATGTACTCCTCGGATGTGTGTGTGGGTTGCAAGTCATCAGTAGATGAAGAATGTATACCTGTATCCTCCTGACTCCTTACCTTAATAAATAAGTTTAGTTACAAACCCAAGTGCTTTCCATAACAGGCTTGATATACTGAGAAACATCTAAAACCTGTGGGAAGCTGGGTCAGGGATGTTGTTGGTGATACCAACCTATACCCAAATAATTAAATATAAAATGACAAAACATGTTTAATTCATTTCTGAATTGTTTTAATTGTGCAAAAAAAAAAGAAAAATAACAGAAACATGTCAAACCAATTCTGCAAAAAGATTTCGAAACACAAAAAGGAAAACAATAAGAAAAGCGAAGCTCTGAAAAGTTCAGGGCGTTTGATGTCAGCAGCAGAGAACACAGCCAACCAATGAGCACCAAGCTGTCATTCAAAGCTTCTACATCGAACCCAAGTGGCTCCACACTGCAAAAACGATCTAGAAATAAGTCAACGTTTCTTAAATTAAGTGTATTTACCCTTAATTTGAGCAGGTAAATAAGATGATTTGCAAATGGAATGAGTTTATTTTACTCTTAAAATAAGATAATTAGATAATATACACTTGAAATGCATCTAAATCCCTTTATTGTAGCACAATGGGGAAATTAACTCTGGATTTTAATCCATCCCCTTGGGGAGCAGTGGGCTGCCATTGTGCGGCGCCCGGGGAGCAGTGTGGGGTTAAGGGTTTTGCAACCTTGTCACACTGGAAAAATTATCTAGAAATAAGTAAAAATGTCTTAAATTAAGTGTATTAACCCTTAATTTGAGTAGGTAAATGAGATAGTTTGCCAATGGAATGAGTAATTTTAC